TCCAGGAGGATGCTGTGGGAGACGGTGTCATGTCATGTCATGTCATGCCATGATCAGACTCTCTTTCGGAGGGAGCTCGTAGATGTTGTCAAGTTCTCACCATGTAAAAAGTCTGACACATGGGTGGCCCGAAAGAGAGAGCAGCCCCTGTGTGACAACCCAGGTAGGGCATCCCTCAGGTCCAAGCTCTGGTCCTCCACAGTGACAGGCACAAGAGCTGGGGGGAAGATGTGTTGAGGCAGCAGGTGAAATACAGGAAATAAGAGCAATATCTTTGCAAGAACATTGTGCAATTTGCTGCCCTTCTGCTGAAAGATGTATTTCATTCACTTGGAGAAAAGATCTCTGTAAGAGGAAATGGTGTTCACAGATGAGATGCTGGTTTGTCCCTGGAATTATGCAAAGTGAACGAAAATACGTGGCAGCAAGGTCACTTGCTGTGATTTGCCATTTTCTTTGCCTAGAGACTAGAAAAGGTAATTCTATTTCACACAGAGATAAATGGTTTGAAATCTGATTCATAGCTCAAAACCAGGCAAATAAAAAGTAGCAGAGACACCGGAAAAGTCTGTCTTGGAAATCAAGCACAGCGTATGCTGCGGCTGAAAGTTCAGCCCTGCAGTTAATGGGGTGTGACTCTGTTTGCTGTTGCTTTAAAGTAACACCATCCTTTAGACATTTGAAAAGTCCATTTTAGCTCTAAGAGTAAATGAAAAATAAGGTATTTTTCCCACATCCTTTCCCATTTGCAATATTTTAAGCAATGGGCTCATCCTTGTCAATGCATCAAGTGAGGCAGATGTCAGGTTTCAAGGGCGATGGCTAGAGGAGGAAAATGAAGCAAGGACATCACAGTGGTTTGGTGAGGCCGAGGTTGTCCACGGGCTCCACCAGCAGTGTGGTCCATCAGACTGTGGTCTGTGGTGTGGCCACCTCTGTCAATACCTTGCTGCTCTGGGCCACGGCAATTGAAATGGAGTGCCTGCAGGCACCAGGGACCATAAACTACCTCAGGAAAGAAAAGTCAAGTGGCCAAAACTAATAAAGGAGAGGAGCTCTCCCTTCCACCCTCTGCAATAGGATTAAGGACAGCCAGCAGATCACAGGAAGAGGTGGAGGAGCACACACGTAAGGGGTCATTACCTGCAAGGGAGGCAGAGATCCTGTTTTGATCTTGACTGAAATACTAAATACAGAAGAAGGGTACAGAAACTATCAATAGGAAATGCTTTGCCGCTGAAAAGCTAACATTTTCACTGTCATATTGTGATGAAAAAGCCTGGTGACCTTTGCAGTATTAAATACTATATTCAAATATTAGGTATTATTTATTAACATTCTCCTCCTTACTCCTCTTCGAGACAATTCTGACAGGAAAGGAGATGCTGTAGAGTGGATTAAGCAAGAGATAGCGCTCTAATCCCAGTTTTCCCCTGTCTCTTGGCGTCCCTGGGAAGGACAGCATCCCTGTCCTTCCGATTCTCATTTGTAAAATGGAGATGATAACTGCTCATCTCTCAGGGCCATTATGAAGATTAATGTGTTTACAAAAGCATTTAAAATGCTAAGTACTTCTGGTTCCAGTCCTTTGAGATTCGAAATGCCAGCACTGAGGTGCTGGAAACCTTAAGCTCTTGTTAACTCTCCTGGAAACTGTGGCTGCCCAGCACTTTACAAAAGCGGGGAGAAACATGTCATTGCAAAAGTGATCAAATCCCATCCTGCTCTAGTGCATAAAATGAGAGCTGCACCGTGCCAGCTGTGTGTCTGAAAGGGCAGATAACACACACAAAAGATCATCATTTAATTTCATGCTAAGAAAATGATTGAAGGTTTTGTATTCTGAAGCATGTTGATGTCATTTATTTAGGGACCGATTTCCTGCACCTTTGGCTACCACAGGATCTTCTGCACTGGTGTGGCACACAGTATCAGTTCAGAGTTTGCTGTACTTCTGTTTAACTTTAAACTCTGTGACCATCAACATAGACTCTTAATTAGCCTCAGAACCCCCCTTGTTTCACTATTACCAATATAGCCAATTTTAGCCACCTTTTTTGCAAAGTATATCCTAAATGAAACCGGAACCCAAATCAAGCTTCAAAATCCCCAACTTTAATATTTGTGAAGAATACCCAGCACTGGCTCTTTACCGTAGGCTCCAGTATCCAGCCCACAGGATCAGAGAGGAGCAGTTAATTGCATTTGTATCCAGTCAGGTTGCTGGGTTATTGCTACCTCCTCAAGTCCATGCAGAAGTGAAAGTCAGCAGCTTCTGTGGACTCCAGACTTCCTTTCACCAGTTCTGGTTTTCACAGTGAAACAAATGTAACAAACTTGTGAAAGGCTCGGAAACAGGGAGATAAGTGAGCTGGAGGAATTGGTGAACCTCAGATAATGGTGTCTCCAAAGGGAGCACTAAATCCTTGGGCAAAAGAGGTTGTAGCCGTATGCACCAAGGCTGAGAAGCAAAGCAGGGTGGTGTGATTTGCTGAGAAGCAGAAGACTTTTACATGAGAGCAAGACCGGATGCCAACCTGCAGAGAAAAAAGGTCTGTTTGTGCAAGACAGCAGCGTGCAGACAGACCACGCAGGCTGACGTGTCCTAGTAAAAGCCAGCTGAAGAATGTGGTCAAGACTGGTAAGATTTTGTCACGAATTTGCAAGCCAATTTTACACCTGATGCCCAAGACTTCAAATCTGTGTGTATGGGGCATCATATGATTTTTAAGACATCAAATGAAAAGTAAATACACTTTGACTCACTGATAATACCAATAAAGTCCATAAGATACTAAGTTGTCATTATATGTTTGGCAGGCACTGAAAGCTATGGTTCAGGAGATGGATCCCCAATATTATCCACCGTTGCAGTAACGCCGTCTCCTACTACGCATATTTCAACTGCGGGTGACCACAAGCCAGTACTTGTCACTGTGAGCACTATCGAAAGCGGTTTTGAAGCACAAAGTACTCCAAGTCCTGAACTGAATCCTGTGGACAACCAGGACAGCCTGGAAGCATCAGAACCATCTGTCTTGATATACGTTGTCCCCGCTGTGCTGCTGGTCCTGCTGATTTTGCTGATTGTATTTTTCGTAAGACACCATAAAAGGAAAAAGTCTAAGCAAGGTAAATTTGTCCTCTCGCGCATCAGAAGGATATTTTTAGGAGACTCTTGGCATTAAAAACAATGTTATTTGGAGGCCTGGGGTGCCACATTTAGAATGTGCTTCTCTGGTTGTAGTTGCACATTTAGCAGATAGGAAAGGGTCCACCCCCAGCCAGCAGCTTCTGGGCACGCAGCTCTCCAAGGGCAGGAGCTGATTCTGCTTCGTGGCATCTCCTGCTCACACCGCACACCCACGGAAGCTGTGGCACCAAGCTCCAGCTCCCGGCAGTGTGGGGAATGCATAAGGATGTAACCATGTGACTGCAAACACTTTATCAGTCTTTATGCTTAATAACTTCATGCAAGGTGAATTTGATGCTCCCATTGCCTATACTGCCTGTAAGGTAAAGCTGCTTAGAGCTTTAATAAAATAAGAGTGAGCAAAACCACTTTAAAATGATCCTGTAGTGTGGTGACAGCTGTAATGACACAACAGTAAATGAGGAGTCCCGTGGTCAGACTGCCTGGGTGCTGCGATAGGGAGAGCAACCCTTTGGGAGGCCACCTCAATCTGTTCACAAAGAAATCAGTAAGTTGGAGCATAAAGCAACAGAAAACAAACTGACGTGTCGTAAGAAAACCATGCAATTGTTAAATGAAGTCCTGAAATGGTTTTATTGGAGTCATCACAGAACAGGAGTGCAGCTGTAAGCTCCTCAGCCCACAGACAGTGACATACATTCAACATAGATTTAAAGTCCATTTTTCAAGGCATTTTTAGGCAGCACCTGCCTTACCACCAGTCACCCTCTTAGCAAACTCTGAATTCACAACCAGGCTTCTGGTTCCCCTCCTGTTTCTGGATGACCTGAAATGTGGAGTGATGGGAATGTGGGATCTTGCAGGAGCACAATCCTGGGGTCTCCTGCTCCGTGGCAATTGCTTTCAGCTGGGATTTCGGGCATTCTCAAGGCAGGGGCAGATGGCTCCACAGCTCTGGGTGGCTCTGCAGCCAGGGAAAGTGCTGGAGCAAGTGGGAGGTGTCAGCACCTATTGGCAACATCGAATTAAAAATGAGCTGGTTTAAGTTAGTACACAGTGTGGATCTTATATGTACTTCTTCATTCTTTTTTGAGGGCTTTTCAGTCACTTGATTCCTGGAGGAGATGTTATTTATCTGAATAATGGCTGTTACACTAATTTTTTTCCATCTTTACTTTGTTTTGGGGTCACATCTAGCTTTGGATCCCTTTTGGCATCTGGCAAGTTCAGCTTCATTTGCCTAACTGAGATTTAATCTGCCATGCAAGTTCAACCCCCGCTTCTTCTCTCTATGAGCAGCTCCTGGAGTCTCCATGCAGAGACCAATTGCCTACATGGAGTCTGCAGCAAAATGTCCTGGCGCTTCCAGTAAACATTGTTTTTTGCAGCAGTGGTGCCTTTTCAGTATACTCTTTCTCTCACAGCATCTGTTCTGCTCAGGGAAGCGTGTATCTGCCGTGTCCTGCCCACCGCGGCGCTAACAGCCGGTTTCCTCCCAGCACGGCTGCTTTTGGTGTGCTCAGGATGGAAAATAATGGGTTTCCCTGAAAATTACAAACAGGATGAGATGTTTTGTCTTTCATCTACAAGTTAACTATGATGCCTTTTGAAAATGCGACCTGTTTTACATGATCTTATTCAAGGCTTGCTTGCAGTCTGGACCCTGTATATCCAAAAAGCAGAACTATGAACACCAACTTCTTTCTTTTCCAGATGAGCTGGGAAGTGAAAATGTGAAAAGGTAAAGTTTATGAATATCACTTATTTTTTTGACTCTCTAACAGGACATTCTGATTTTTGGCTCCTTTGCTGCCTGTTTTAATTTAACTGTGCACTAAACACTGCTACCTCTTGCATCAACCATTCCAGTTAACTACCTCGAGAGGTGGCTAAAGTGCAACTTCCCTCTTTAGCTGAAGGTGTGAGACTGGAGCAGGGGCAGAGGAGTTACAGTGGCTGAGGCAAGCACTGACCCACAGGCACCCACCTCCTGCAGCCACCCCTACACCTACTCTAGGCACCCCCAAGACACACGAGGTGCCCCACAAGCAAAGGGGATCAGTTCCCAGGCTCATCACAAGCTTTTACTATTCAGAATAAGCTCTGCATCTTGCTCCCCTGTTTTTCGAGTTTGTCTTCTCACCCGGAGGTGAGGCAGAAAGGCTCTCCTGGCTGCCAGGGAAGCAATGCCTGAGCTGCTCAGAAAATGAGCAAAAAGCTGCATGGCTTTTATCAGAGTGATCATTTTTATTGTTACCTTTTATTGAGCTCCATCTTGCTAATCAGTGCTGGGAGTTCCTAAATGGGCTTCACAGGAGGAAAAAAGGAGATTTTGCTAAAAATAATTTTTCTACCGTGTGACTCCAGGAGTGATTGGCAAAGGGAAGTTAAACAGAGGCATTTAAATAAATGCAGAATTACTCATCTCATGACCTTTCCTTTTGAAGTCGCTGCTGATGTCAGTCACAGCTAGAATGAAACTTTAGGCCCTCTGTTTTTATCCCTGGAGGAACAGGACTTGTCCCACATGTTCCAGCACAGCGGAGACAACCTGTTTTATTTTTTAGTTTTCTATTTACAGCAGAGACACTTCTCAAATAGCTGCAGTGGTCCTGTGCTCTGGTGTACCCCAGACTGCACCATCCGAGTCCCTCTGCTCGTGATGTCCCAACCAGCCCTGCTTCTGCCCAGGACTGGCATATCAGTGCCACTCCTTCGCATCTGTTTGCAGCCGTTTCGTTCATACCCATTGGGCTGGCATCTTCTAAGATGACCAGGCTAGGGTACAATCACAGCATCATTTGATTGGAAAAGACCTTTAAGATCACTGAGTCCAACCATAACCTGCCCCCTACTAATCCATGTGGCTTTCCAGATTTTCTACACATGTCTGGAATTAATGGGAGGCTCATACAAAATTACTACATTGTAAGTTGTTTAAGGATTTTGTGTAATGCCTTTTTTGTCCTCTCCTTCCTCTCAAGTCCTATTTTTGAAGAAGACACGCCCTCTGTTATGGAGATAGAAATGGAAGAGCTTGATAAATGGATGAACAGCATGAACAGAAATGGTACACGGTAACCCCTCTACTCCATCATCCCTCTCTTTCTAGCTGACGTAGATCCCACACGGAGGAAATCAATATAAGGCGTTTTGTATGTGTGTCACTGCTTTTCCTACTACGTTTTTAGTTGTGTTCTTGACTCTCTGCTACTAAAATAGCAGCACAAATGTCAGGGGTAGAACTGTTCAGAGGAGTATTTTAGTTTGTGTGGGTGCTTATTTTTAACATATGATGGAATATCATAAATGTTTTGAGTTTCCAATAGACGCTTCTATTAAACACACATATAGCTGTGAACAGTATTTATATTTTTAAACACACATTTTTAATGCTAAATACTACTTTCTCTGAAGCATCCAGTTCTTTCAGTCTTCAGAGTTTCTACAGTTCTGGGCCCGACATTGTGTTATTGTAGAAGAAACAAGCATTTACTCATAGTTTAGACTTAAAATCACTGCCAGGATCCTGTGAACACATCCCTCCCCTCTGTGTCCTTTCCCTTGCTTACCATCTCCACCACATGAAACACAAGCTTCTCTTTGCCTCCAGCACCTTTCACCATCTACATCCTCTCTGGGAAGTCTATCAGCCCATGGAGCCACTGGTACCCATGGTAACTACCACCAGCCTCTTCCACTACCTCTTAGTTTCTTCTAAGTATCTTGTATTTTTTCCCTCCCATTTTCCTTCCAACCAAAACCTCCCAGTCAGTCTCTAAGGGCCCTGAATGCTCCTTTGAGGCCTTCCTAAAAAAAAAAAAATGCAAGTTTTCAGTAAGGCACGAATTAACCAAGGCCTGATTTTGAATTGCAAACAGCTTTTCACTGGCTAGGAAATGCTGAAACCCTGATATTGTTTTCATTCCTGGTCCCTTGCCTTACATCCAAATGGCTCATTTGCTTGACCTCCTCGGGTTGCTTTGTTTTTCAGGCCATAAAACTCTTTGGAGCATTTCTTTGCATTAGCACAGTGCTCCACACGATGGGGGTTTGACCTTCGCGGTCCGTAAGCTCTAGCAGAAAACATGTGCTAAGCAGCAGTAGTGAAATAGAGGCATTAAGTACACTACAAATAAGGGGGAAATAGTGCCATAAAAGATCTTTTTAAATTCTATGAACAAAAGGGAGCAGTTTACATATAAAGGGAGTTTTTGTTACTGTTCCCTAAAACCCAGCCCCAAATTCCCAGCTGGACTATAAAGCATAGGTGCAACTATAAACAGTGGAAGATTAACAAATAGTCCTCCTCGTGGTAGTTTATTTGAAACAGTGCTCAAAAGCAGTTCATTTGTATAGGTGTACTTAAACAATTAAAATATATATATAGTAAAGAGATTATGGCAACACCTATCAAAGGAAAGGAGGATTTTAAACACGTAACATTTGTGCTGTGTGGATTATGCTGATTTTGCGGATAAAAGAGTGCAGAGAAGCATCTGCAGTTTTACATCCTAGAGAGACTGCACCAGAGAAGTTGATGTAATTTTGAAATAAATGGAAGAACTGCCAAGAGTAACTATAGTTTTGTTTCTTAACCTTTTTCAGCTGACTGTGGATGCTTGCCTACTGTAAATGAAGAAGAAAAAGAATCAATTGCCAACCCAAGGTATTTTTAATTCATTGTATTATTTGAAAAAATATGGTCAATGCCATTCCAAAATAATCTAATTTTTTCAATATGTAATTATAAATAGGGTGATACTTTGGTCTATTTGAGTTTTATGCTCCTCACTGGCATGGATACCCAGCTCCCCTCTGCCACCAGAGGTCTGTAGGTTCCCAAGAAGCACTGCTAGATGTTTTGCCTGGAACCGTGACCTATTGGGCAGGAGCTTGTCTACACCCAAGAGAAACTCAATTTCTCTTGGGTTTTCCCAGTGCCCTGGTGCAGTGTATCCCTGGAGCTGCCACTAGCTTGTGGGGCCAAGAGTTTTACACTCTGGGAGTGATGTAGAACTGCAATCCTGACAAAAGCTTCAAACTTTCTAGCTGTTTTCCTCCAGATTTTGGTCAGAACTCCTGAACCCCTCACACACTCCCATTTTCTGATAGTGGGAGGTGGACCTGAGTCTTCAGGACCTGGGTATCAGATGATAACCCAGCTCAATGTACCCCTCAGATGGAGCTGCACCTCCCACTGTAGACAGTCATAATGCCCTGGTCCCCCTCTTTTCTGAGCTTCCTTGCTCAGGAGTGAAACAGTGGTGACATTAAACCACCTCTGCTGGAGAGTTTGCAACTCCGTTGCTCCAAAGCTGCAGTTTCAGGATGGCTTCTGGATGTGGCAGCTCCACTGTTTGTGTGTAAAAGATTCCTGCTTATGGCTATTGCTAAAGAAATTGCCTTTGTTGTGTTTGTTTCTTTAAAAAAATCCAAGCCCAAACCAAACAACAAAACCCAACCAAAACAAAAAGAAACGCACAACAAAAAGAGCTAGACCCCAGGCTGCAGATGCGAGGAAGCACAATAATTTTACCCTGCACTGCTGGAAAAGATGCTGACTTCCCTCACCATCTGAGTCTTCCCTTACAGCCTCTAAATAATAATTTAAAGGCATAAAATAAGCTAAGAAGCAGCAAGCACACAACCGTTCTCTAAAAACAGCTTTGCTGAGCTTACCCCTGACCATAGTAGGGGTTGTAGGACAAAATGTGCTTGAGCCATATGCTATCCTCAGAAGTTAGTCACACTATCAAAGGTTTTTTAGGCACAATGACACCCTGAGCATTAAGTTTCCTTTCCAGAACTACAACAATTCATTTTCAGAAAAATCACCATGACCTACCAGCTTGAGCTGGCATTTTAGATACCACCCCTAAAGTGTTTTCATACTGGATTTACATTAACCCCACCAAAAGGTAAGGGGTTTTGCTCCTGAGTGGCAAAAGGTATCTTGGGCTACACCTTACCTGCAAAAATAGAGATATTGTCACTTCAAAGGGATAGGGAGGTTTAAGCCTTGATGCAGCAACGCAGCCCTGTTCAGATAAGCACCTCGCAGTCAGAGTGAAGGCACACACATTATTTAAGCATATTTCCTTATGACTGGTATCTATCACACTGGAGAGAAATTTATGCCTCTAAATTGTAGGAAGGCAAACAAATGCAAATAAAAAGAGGACATTTATCTCTAGAGCATTCAGAGCTGCTCAGGCAAAGGATATTAGTTGAATACAAAGTACAAGATTATTAGGTTCAATTTCAGATTGTGGAAGACTGCTTTGTGGAGGCAAATTTGTTCTCCAATTATGGTAATTCCTTTTTTAGATTTTATTGTTGATATTTCAATATGGGAAACATCTCAAGGCCTCACTGAGCACAGCTGGCTGAGTGGTGGTTTGCTGCTGCATACAAGATGCTGAGGGGAGGCGGTGGTGGTATTCAAAAACACCCAAGTGTTTTGAACTATGAATTGATTTTGATAAGACATAATTTCGAAAATATTCAAGACTCAACATTTCAATAATGACATTTTGACATTTTTCAGAATGACGGTTGTTCCAAAACTACTTTTCAGAGTAAGAGATTATTTTTAATATAAGATTTTCAAAAGGTTTAAAGAACAGAACCCTGTGATGGGGAAATATTTCTAAGCTATGTGTTCCCCTTAGCTCAAAAGCTACTTTTCAAATGTCATTTTACATGAAATTTTTGAACATGCTCATTTCAAATTGAAAAGGTGATGAGATTTCCTGGTGAACAACAAAAAAAATTAGATTCCTGTTTATGCAATCGAACCTTACCAGACCAAGATGAATTGCTTTTCCTGACCAAACTCTTAGCTGAATAAATATTGCCAGAGAACTACATGCAGATAGATAGATGTTTTCAGCAGCTCTTTCAAGCAGGAAGAGTGAGAGTTTGAAGTAAAATGAAACAAAGCTAATATTATGGCAAAAAAATGTACTCATGAGCATCAGGGCTGCAGATCTGTGCACAAGAGGCAAGATCAGACAGCCTGGGCTCCTTTGGAGGTGAATGTCATCTGCCTTGCACTTAAGCTAAATTAAAGATACATATGTGTATATACATTTATTTTGATATAGATATATGCACAAGCAGGTGCAAGACTGATCTCTTCTTTCATTTACTGAAGTTTTCTTTACTTTAGCGTGCATGGTGGGGTTGGGTTGATGGTTGGACTTGATGATCTTAGAGGTCTTTTCCAGCCTTCATGATTCTGTGGTGCTCCCCCAGCAAAACAGAAGCATGGCCTGTCCCCTTCACAGCATGGATGCTTATACAAAGAAGCAATTCTCTCCCACTTATTCACACCTTCTAAGGGGGTCTGGTTTTCCTTGGGTGCTGATGGGCACCCTCCTAGTATTTCTGTCCAAAAAAGGGTGACTCTTTCTTACCAAAGGACATTCTGGGTTGGGAATAAGTCAGTACAGAAAGAAATACTCCTTTCCCAGGTTGTGCCTCAGTCTGGCAAAGTACTTAAAAAGACATGCAAAATATTAAGATTGAGCGGCCCTTTCAACTGCAGAGGTGGTTTAAACACCCGCTGTTAATGCTGACTACAATCTAACCAGCCAATAAAAAACATCACATTTTTAATGTTGGCATGAACCATTTTTAAGGAAGTGCTAGGGAGCAAGCTAGCTGGGCAGAAGCGAGCAGGACAGAGAAAAATCACCTGTTATGAGGCCAGATTTAACACAAAAATTTTCTGTAAAAAATTATCCTCACCTGTGAAAAGAGGGCAGTATGACTGCTCAGTCCTTCCCTGGGAACAGGAGAAAGGGTGCCCTGAGTATCCATGATCCATCAGAGAAATCAGACCAGCCCATGCTGCCAGCATTGACCACCACAGATGGGGTAACTTCATGCATTGCACAGCTGATTTGTTTTCCGACAACGCCTTCTCATGGACTCCATAGATACTCCTGCTTGTAATTCCCTGCTGAGACAACTCACCCAGCAGCATGACACTGGTGTGGTTTTTGTTTCTTTTCCATGCATACGCAGCGATGGTGAATCGTGAAGTCTGAACTGCAAAAAACTGGTTAAAGGGAAGCAGCACACAAGCCAACAATCCCCCAAATATTGGATGAACTGGATTTAAATATAACTCATCGCAAAAGGCCAGAGGAGCAAATGCTTTTGTTGTGTCCTGCTACAGTCTTCAGAAAGAAAACATCACCAAGGGGAAGGATAAAAAAAGTTTAAAAAGGACATTGCTATAGTAAGATTAGCGGCTGATTTTAATTCCTTCTGCAATGAAATTCATCACAAATGAAGAGAAGCCTCTCCCTGCCCAACCTCTAAGTTCTCAAAATAGTCCACGTTGCTGTCTAACTCTTCAGTTTTACGTAGTGCAGAAGCACTTCTGCTCCAAGTTTGGTGGGTTTCTTTGTATTTTTGTGGGTGTTTTGTTTGTTGTGTTGTGGTTTTTGTTTTGGTTTGTTTGGTTGTTGTTTTTTTCTTAATATAAACAGCCCTGGTTTGGTGAACACTCCCGTGAGTTGTCCTTGGGTGTCTGTAGCCATCTTTCTTTAATTATCAATCCCTTCTCAGGTTATTCCAGTTGAGCACCAAAACAGGAGTCTTCAAATTGACAAAGCTGCTAACACAATTTTCAGTGGATATAAGGGAAAAGGATAAAAAGAAGAGAGGTATTTCCGGACAGACTTAGAAAAAAGTAAACAAAGCAGAGCATTACTTACGTGCAAGTTCGCAACAGACAGTTTCATTAGAGAGAAGCAGAATGGCCTGAGGTTATCCAGAAAGCTCAAGTCAGTCTTGATTTTATGCAATGCTTTTAATGTTCAAACAACCTCAATATGAGAGCATCGTAGCAATGACAAGGCAGAAACTGGAGAGAAGGAGAGTTCTCTTGCTTAAATATCACATCAGCAAGAAACTTGTCTTTGGTACAAGTAGACTCAAAGTCTGTATTTTAGGGCAACATTTGTTAGTTCTCTAGGGGGGTGCAAAGGAGGACTTGGCTATGAAGCCCCAGGAAGTATTTTGGCACCTTGTGGGGTAACACAGAGTTACTCCCCCATCTCCAGGAGCTCTCTCTTGCCCTGTTCTGCCTATGTCAGTACCAGTCATGCCACCCCAAGGATCCAACGTCCACTAAAAGGAGGCTGGAAGGGGTCATGGGGAAACTGGTTTGGCAAAGGGGGACAAGATGTGGGATGAGTGGCTGACATGCCAGAGGGCTGTGCTG